CAGCCCACTGCAGTGACTCTGTCCACGGACACGTTTCGGTTCCGATGTGGTCAGCGGTGTCTGCTTCTTCTACTTCGGTCTGGAAAGTAAGCCCCCCAAACACCGAACCAGATGGGTTTTAATTTCACTGGCGATGTCCTCCTGAATGTTTGTGAGAGCCAGAGAGGCGAGGAAGGATACCTGTTATTTTTCAATAGCTGATTAAAACGCACAAACAAGGACAAGACAGCAAAGACGGTCTTTTAAACAGCCAAGGCGTCCAGGAAGAAAGTGATGTCTCCCCCTAGCGGTGGAAGACTGCTCAGAGAAGGCTTGGTGAACCTTCACAGGTATGGCATCCTATATTGATATACAATCACTCCCATTTTTAGCTTTTAGACTAATGTCGCTTCAAATTTGCAAATCTCAAGGCAAATATTCCACATAATTATTTAAAGATTACAGGTGTATCTACTAATTTTTTTTTCTTGTCATTTTAAAAGTTGTGGCTTATAGATAGTGAATGATTTCGCAAATGATAATTGGAAACTCATGGTATCACACCTAAATCAGCTAAATGACTAAAAAAAACCTACAATGGCTTCCTGGGCCTTGTCACTCTGGGTCAGCATGTTAAATAAGACTGCTGGCTTGACATATGTCCACAAGGATGCTATGCCTCAAAAGGTCATTATTGAAGAAGGTGGTTTTTGACACATCCAGGCATATCAACAGAAAAATGAGCGGAAGGAAGAGTGTGGTACGAAAAGCAAAGTCTACTCAGGATAAAGCTTGAGTCTGCAGTGACTATACAAATACAAATCCTACGCATGGGCTATAAATCTTCCATCCCAGCCAGACAAAAGAAGGCAGATGGTCTGAAAGCAATCTGGGCCTCCATTACACCTACAAAGTGCCACAAGCTGATCTCCTATCTGCCATGGTGCATTGATGCAATAATTTATGCAAGAGGAGGCCCAACTGTTTATTGGGTGCATATGAGTAGTAGTAATACTGAATAGTAATTAGTTGTATATCTTTTATATATGCCATCATTTTCAGTTGTTTTTTTTAGAAATCATAATTTCACCAGAAAAACTGCACTAACAAAGCATTAACCATTCCTTCTATTTTCTGAGTTTTTTCATGTGGGTGGGGTGTCAGCTTCATGCAGCTGGAGCCTATCCTATATTTGATGATGCGGGCCGGGGTGTACAGTAAACACTGTGCATTTGTAGTGCAGAGTGGCGAACTCACTGTAGGGCTTGCAGTAATAACTGTGAACGCTGCGCACAGTTTGGTTGTACCTTAAAGCTTGGTTAGGGTTCTCTTACCTCTCTGCACGGCTCCTTGGTCTTAGAAATGCTGTTTTTTTTTTTCAGGTATGTCATTTAAGTTATGTAAAGAACAGCTGTAGTCATTCAGATTAAATTGAATGCAGGCGGACTCTGTTTATTAATACATTAATTACTGGATTTACTGGACTTTTACTTAAAGGATTATAATAATCCCATCTATACCTGTATTTATAAATATATATAATTGCACAGGGCAAGACTAAACCAATTAGTTATTTAAAGATAAATGACTGATCTGTCTCTGAATTGTAAGAATCAGAGTAAAAGAAGCTGGATGGAACTGTAGGCTGGATAACAATGTAGACCTTAGTTTGTAAAACCATGACTGAAAAACAAAACATTTTAATTGCAGAAGCAGTTAAAAATTGTTTTCAATTACAATTTTTATTTGACCTTATTTATATTTAAATTGCATACAAACACTTTTTGTTTTTCACATTTGTTTCCAGTCTTTATTTTTTATTTTAATTAGCCTGCTGATATCTAAGCATGAGTTTCCTTGCAAAAGAATCAGATTTTGAGTGTTTATTCCATCTTACTGTATGTAAAAAGGCAAATCCCATTTAAAACAATGCAAGACAAAAATTATCAGCCATGTTAAAAATCAGAGTCTGAAATCCAGACTTGGATTTAAATATGGCTACACAAATATTCAGGTGTTGTATTATATAATGCATTGTCTTGCCTTATTGCCAAATGGGCAGGAATATCTTTGTTTTTAAGCTGAACCTGTCTTCTAATAATTTAAAAGTTTTATTGACCTCATTGGTAGCTATATACCTCATTATATTGGTATAAGTGCAAAACTCAATCTACTTTTTATGTGTTTTAGAAACTCATGCATAGTTCATAAATTCAAATATAATAATTTTTATATTATTTTTTTGATCTTGTTTTCTCTTTAGAGGTGAAAAGTGAGTCAATAATTTTACTCACATGCTAAGTCATAATGCACTGATTCAGGGATGGGCAGCTCCAGTCTTCCAGGGACCTGACACTTTTAAATGTTTGCCTGCACAAACACACCTGAATCAATTCAATATATAATTACCAGGACCCTGGAGAACCTGCATACTGAAGATAAAATTCAGCTAAAGCAGTGGTAAAATGTGCAGGACACGAGATATCCAGGACCGTATTTGTGAAAAGCAGATCTACAGGAATTCTAGGATTGTGAAATAGCTTAAAAAACAGACCTAATTCATAACCATTTTAGCACTGTTTTAATGGTCAAAAAATGCCAGGACAGAAAAAAAGACCATCATTTACTGTAAATGATTTAATCCTTACAGAACTTTTAGTCTAATTAAGAGAGAGCCTAGTTGTTGGTGAGAGCTCTCTCCACCAGAACCCATCTGTGAGAATCTTTGTCTGACTGTGCTGATGGTGAACAAGCAGGAGCTGTGAAACCAAGCAGAACAAGTCTGTTATGGTGTGAACACACTGAATACATTACAGCAAACAGGCTGAGTGAAAGCGATGCCTTCATTTCTGTCAAAAAGTGAGATTTAAAATGTAAATAATTCTTTTGTGGAATACTTGCATCAAGATCTAAATATAATCTTTATTATTCTGTAATTTCATTTGCAGCAGCCTTTGCTGTACACAGAATAAAGTTTAAATTATGTCAATACACTTTAACAGTCTTATGAAATTTATTTTAGTTAAGGTGGTTCTATCTACAATAGTAGCCACACCCATTGTAGCCATTAACTGTTATGATTGCTGTATATTTTTACCAATCTTATTTTTTAGAGCTTTTTCAATTTGAATATGTACTGTGTATTTTCAACATGGGGAAGGTTATGGTCATTCCATAAATTTAAGCCAGTTTTAGACATTCCCAAAACAGTCTACAATGCATCAGCTATCCCCACAGTGGAAACTTGAAATCATGTCATACTAGAAAGCTTCTGCTCCAAAATCAGCATTTGGAGCATCTGTCATTTGGAGCTGTTCTGAAGATATTCGGTTTTGTTATATCTAAGTAACGTCTTCCTATGGGCAACAAGTTGAAGGCACAAACTAAACTGTTCATAATTTATAATTTATGGTATGCCAGCATTCATAACATGTAGGCAAATCACTGTCCCCCAGACATCCGCAGTTATATATTTTTTTAAACTAAGCGGAGTGTGTATGACGTAATCCGCGCGCGCCGGCTACCTTTCATTCCTCCTGTCCACTGAACTGCTACTAGTTTTACTCACATGCCTGGAAGATGTCTAGTGCTACTACCACAGATGATCTCACTCACGAAATGGAATTGAACGATTCAGATTAGCTCACCGAATGATTAGAAGACTGTCTGCAGCTTAATGCCTCAAAAACAGAGGCCATCCAAACTGGTACTCCTCATCAACTCCGTTCCTCTCCTCTCACCTCTGTTTCATTCTGTGGTCATACCATTCCCCTCTCTCCCTCTGTTACAAGCCTTGGGGTCAAGCTTGACCCCCACCTCTCCTTTGACAATCATGTCACCTCCATCTGCAAAACGTCCTTCTTTCACCTCCGTAATATCTCTAAACTCCGTCCCTCTCTATCCCTCCCTGCTGCAGAGAAGCTCGTCCACGCCTTCGTCTCCTCCAGGCTGGATTACTGCAACGCTCTCCTCGTCGGGATCTCTGGCAGGAGCCTTCAGAAGCTCCAGTATGTACAGAACAGCGCTGCCAGGGTCCTGATGAGGGTGAGGAAACACCAGCACATCACTCCCATCCTTCACACTTTACACTGGCTGCCCATTCACGCCCGTATAGAGTACAAGATTCTTCTGCACACCCATCACTGTGTGCACGGTGCGGCCCCCATGTATCTCACTGAACTGCTCACACCACACACCTCTTCCCGGACCCGGTCAGGCCAACAGCACCGTCTGGCCCCACCCAGGACACGGCTAAAAACAATGGGCGACAGGGCCTTCGAAGCCGCAGCTCCCCGTCTGTGGAATGCCCTCCCAGACCACCTTAGGGCCCCACAGACGGTGGATTGTTTTAAGAAAGGACTAAAAACTTTCCTTTTTAGAAATTCCTACAATTGTTGATTTTAGATTTTCTTTAATAGGCTACGTATGCCTTTTAATGTATTGATTTTAATGACTGTCTTTTTACTCTGTTTTTAATGTTATGGTCTTTTAAACTTGTTTTGTAGCACTTTGAGATTTGAAATCAAATGTAAAGTCCATGATAAATAAAATTCATTATTATTATTATAGAAGAGGTAGAGCTTAGCTGCCTGTGGCCCAGGCTGTTTGTCACAACTCTAGTCTGGCGAGCGAATGACGTCATACATGCGCCGCTTTGTTGTTAAAAAAAAATAGAAATAGAAAAAACATAACCGCGGATGTCTTTTTAAAAAATATAAATCAAAGGCCCAATGTAAAACAAGGATGGATGCAGGGGATCCTTTAAATAAAATTTGCAGCTACCAACATGGTCAGCAATAATCCTTCTGGAACTCAATCTATGGCCATGTGGTGGAAACAGATTCTGATAGGGTTAATGATAATAACCCCGTAATTGTCCTAGAAATAAACCAACACAAGACACAAGTTACTTTTCTGCAGAAGAGGAGAGTGGACCCAGACGGAGAATGACACTCCCTGAATGTCTGGTGAACTTGGTTAGGACATTAACATTTTTCCAACACACTCAAAAGAAAAGATCCTTTCAGATATTGAAAATGCACATTTTATTCTCGCATGAAAAAAAATATTTACATCCATCAAAAACTAGAAAAAAAAAGATGTGAAAAGCATCTTGTACTTGTCTACAATTAGCTTTGTACACAGTCTATAGTATCTGCATGTATTTTCCCATGCAGATGCAGTCAGTCCAAATATACAGCTCTACCTCCTGCACACCCCCACCAATGCCAGCTAATGCCCGATGTCACCGTTTTCCTGCACACAGCAAGCAGGGCAGCTTGTACAGATCTGAACATGCATCAGTCTTTAACTCGGTTTTAAAGGAGCAGGAGGCAAACTAGCTGAGGCCTGTTCCAGAAAGGCCAGCGGCCCCAGAGGCGGAAGGTCAGTGGCTTTACGAGGCTGACCACTCACATCCTCCAGTACTTGTTGCCAGTGCTGCAGCTTGCTCAAATGCTTTTGAACCAGTGCTTCTTTCCTCTGTAGTTCATTTCGCAGGTCTGATAGATCCTTGAGTGAGAGGAGAAAGGTGATCAAGAGAAGAAAGATTATACAGACGGCAGGAACTTATAAATGTCAGCCCTGTCCAAACGTTTACCTCTTTTAACACCTGCTCTGGTTTCTGCACAGAGAGCTGCAGCCTCTTCTGTAAGAAGAAGCACTCCGTTTGTCGAGCCACATCCAGGAACTTTTGGATGCACTGGTCCACACCTACACATGAGATAAGTATGCTATTAAATACATATTATAAATATGAAACACTTACTATAAAAAGGCAGCATTAAACCTACCTGTTCGAATCTCCTCCTGATCCGTTCCATTGACATAGTCTTGACTTACTAATGATGAGAAGCAGGCCTAAGAGATAAAGAAAACGCAGGTTTAACAAAACTGCTCTCAAAAATATCCCTCAATTGTGGAGAAACTTAGATCCTCGTTTTTAAGTTTTCAGAGAGCTGGTTCCGCTAAAGGATCTGTTTCTGATGGTCGCCATTTGTGGAGTTTTTTTCTCTCTGTTGATGCATTTCAAGACAGAGCGTGAAAAACGATTTAAAAAAACAATGATAGGTTACATTAACTGTTTAGAACTATATGCTGTGGTATTTAATGTCAAAATAAAAGTGACATTATGGCGTACAAACACGAAAAAAACTCTTAAAAAAAAAAGATATTTTGAAATAAGCTCTTTATTACACCAGTGATCACCATGTTGTAATAGTGTTTAATCCTATTTTTGAATTTACCGATGCTCTCGGACAAACAATGGAAGAAAATTGTAAAAACAAACATTCTGACACATTTCAGTTTTTAAATTAGATTTAGCTTTCTGATAAAATAAAAATGTATGATTCATAACAACAAGTGACACGACATCAGATAGTGAGGAAAATTTATTTAAAGATGAGCTAAGTTCATGTATAAACTAGCCACTAAGAAAACCCCATTTTATCCAAAGGACCCAAAACATTGAATAAAAAAAAATACCACACAGTAAACAAGGCAGCTGGTTTACTGAGCTCAAAAACAAGTCCCAGACCACCATATACGCATCACATTATCAGCCCTGCTAATATAGTGTAGAATGGGTGATAGATCATTTAGCTACCAGGCAGGAATCATACAGGTGCTGGTCATAAAATTAGAATATCATGAAAAAGTAGATTGATTTCAGTAATTCCATTTAAAAAGTGAAACTTGTATATTATATTCATACATTACATACAAACTCATATATTTCAGATGTTTATTTTGTTTAATTTTGATGATTACAAATGACAACAAATGAAAATCTCAAATTCATCATATCAGAAAATTAGAATATTGTGAAAAGGTTCAAAATTGATGGCCCCTGGTGCCACACTCTAATCAGCTAATTAACTCAAACCACCTGCAAAAGCCTTTAAATGGTCTTTCAGTCTAGTTCTATAGGCTACACAATCATGGGGAAGACTGCTGACTTGACAGTTGTCCAAAAGACGACCATCGACACCTTGCACAAGGAGGGCAAGACACAAAAGGTCATCGCTAAAGAGGCTGGCTGTTCACAGAGCTCAGTGTCCAAGCACATTAATAGAGAGGCGAAGGGAAGGAAAAGATGTGGTCGAAAAAAGTGTACAAGCAAGAGAGATAACCGCACCCTGGAGAGGATTGTGAAACAAAACCCATTCAAAAATGTGGGCGAGATTCACAAAGAGTGGACTGCAGCTGGAGTGAGTGCTTCAAGAACCACCACACACAGACGTATGAAAGACATGGGTTTCTGCTGTCGCATTCCTTGTGTCAAACCACTCTTGAACCACAGACAGCGTCAGAAGCGTCTTGCCTGGGCTAAAGAGAAACAGGACTGGACTGCTGGTGAGTGGTCCAAAGTCATGTTCTCTGATGAAAGTAAATTTTGCATTTCCTTTGGAAATCAAGGTCCCAGAGTCTGGAGGAAAAGAAGAGAGGCACTTCATCCACGTTGCTTGAAGTCCAGTGTAAAGTTTCCACAGTCAGTGATGGTTTGGGGTGCCATGTCATCTGCTGGTGTTGGTCCATTGTGTTTTCTGAGGTCCAGGGTCAACGCAGCCACATACCAGGAAGTTTTAGAGCACTTCATGCTTCCTGCAGCTGACCAACTTTTTGGAGATGCAGATTTCATTTTCCAACAGGACTTGGCACCTGCACACAGTGCCAAAGCTACCAGTACCTGGTTGAAGGACCATGGTATCCCTGTTCTTAATTGGCCAGCAAACTCTCCTGACCTTAACCCCATAGAAAATCTATGGGGTATTGTGAAGAAGAAGATGCAATACACCAGACCCAACAATTCAGAAGAGCTAAAAGCCACTATTAGAGCAACCTGGGCTATCATAACACCTGAGCAGTGCCACAGACTGATCGACTCCATGCCACGCCGCATTGCTGCAGTAATACAGGCCAAAGGAGGCCCAACTAAATACTGAGTGCTGTACATGCTCATACTTTTCATGTTCATACTTTTCAGTTGGCCAACATTTCTATAAATCCTTTGTTTTTATTGGTCTTCAGTAATATTCTAATTTTCTGATATGATGAATTTGAGATTTTCATTTGTTGTCATTTGTAATCATCAAAATTAAACAAAATAAACATCTGAAATATATGAGTTTGTATGTAATGTATGAATATAATATACAAGTTTCACTTTTTAAATGGAATTACTGAAATCAATCTACTTTTTCATGATATTCTAATTTTATGACCAGCACCTGTATTTTGCTTAATGTTGCTGCTTTGAGCTGTGAAACATTCCAAGAGAAGGCCATTAGCTGAGCCATTATTGCCCATGGTGATAGAAAGGTTTATAGGGATATAATAGGATAAAAAGGTTTAATTGCAGATCCTTCCTCTCATTATATTTTAAACTTTATAACAGTCACTGCTCCCAACCAACTAGAGAAGTGTTTCCCTCTGCTGGTTTTGCAGTCTTTTAATTCATGGATGATGTACGGTGTTTTTATGGACATTTTACAGATCTAAAAATATGTATATATATAAAACTCTTATTCAGCCACCGCAGGCGGTCTCCTCCCTTTTTTTTCCCTCCAAGCTCGGGTCCTCTCCCAGAGGCCTGGTAGCTTGATGGTTCTGCTCAGTATCTTTGCTGTTCCTAGAACTGCACCCTTCTGGACTGAGATGTCTGATGTATTTCTAGGAATCTGCTGAAACCACTCCTCAAGTCTGGGGGTCACTGCCCTGAATGACTACTGATGCCTTGCCCCGAGGACCCCAATGACCACAGGTACCACTGATGTTTTGACCTTCCAGGTTTTCTCCAGCTCTTCTCTGAGCCCCTGATATTTCTCTAGTTTTTCCATGTTCTTTTTTTCCTGATGTTGCAGTCGCTTCAGGAAAAAAGAAAAAAAATAAACTAGAGAAATACCATATATATTTACATTTGTTAAAATTACCCTACTTAGTTGCAATTTTTCTATAATGCAATCTTTAACAGCTAAAATCTGTACAGTTTTCTCTGGTACTGTAGTTTAGCCCTGATGTTTTGTTTTAATGTTTCTTACATTGCAAGTATCCTCATAATTAAATTGGTTGTTCACTTTTAAACCCCTTGGGTTTGTTTGCCCTCAGTTTGTGTGGTGGAGATGGAAATGGAAATAATTTGAGCCACTATCTGCACAGGCTTTTTAATTTCCTTCACCTAAATTATCTACCTCTGTGTACATGGACGGATTTAATTACACCTCCTTGATGACCTGTTATCTGTCTCGTAGCAAAACAAGTTTAGGTGACATTTGTTGTTAAGTGTCGTCATATAATAACTGGAACATCACCTACAGTGTATGGTGGCCAAATGTTTAATGTCAAAGATGAAAGTCTTGAGAGAAGAGATAGATCAAATCCTCGCAAGAAGCGGAAATCGGAGAGGAAAACTACTGTGTGCATCTTTTTTAGAAATGTACATTCATAAAAAGAGGGAAACTCTGACTGAGACTGAATTAAAGTGGTTACCTCTAGATAATAATGTAGCAGTAGAAGAAGCACTCTCTTTACAAAAAACAAACAAAAAAAAAACGTTCCCCAGAAGGAGTCGCAAGGGAAGAAGCTCATAGTTATTTAGTAGCTATGTTAGCCACAGCTGCTAACAACAGAGCTAATACGCCCCGCTTGCCTCATACCTCGAAGGATGCCTCCAGCTCGTCCACCAGGGTACTGGTTCCCTGAGCCCGGGGAGCGCTGCCAGGAAAGCCAGGCTGAGCCGGACCAGGAGGTCCTCCTACCGAATGAGCACCGGGTGGCTGCTGGCCTGGAAACATCCCATTCATGGACGACGCCATTTTCCTCCGTCACTTACGCAAGTCTTGCGCATGCGCAGATTAGAACACCAAATATATATATATTAAAAAAAAACCAAGTAGGGACCAGTTAGCTTTAAACTATTTAAAGGCAAATTTCAAAGGGTATAAACAAAACCATCCAACACAATAAGTGCTAAAAACCATGCTGGGAAAAAGATAAAAAGCAAATAAAAGTTTGGTTTCTGTACATAAATCAGATAAAGATATTTTAGATATAGATCCAGATCTGAAATACATTATTATAGATATGTTAAAATGTTATTATGCATCTAGAGCTGGTCAGATTGTCATGGCACTCTGATCCACTGTAGATCTGGTGCAGTGACTGCAAGGGGCCACTCATTGTTAGAGTCATATATCTATGTCCCACAGAAACAAAATCATAAGAGTTGTCATTTAAACTTCAGACAACAATCAGCTGAAAAAATATCAAGAGGTATGAACTTGTGTGTGATCAGCAATTTAGGTATAAATAATTACACCATACATTTCTTCTACTACTTAATAATCTCAATACAACTAATTGATTTTTTCTCTGTGTTTTTATGCTACTCAGCATGAGAGGGAGACATTTGAATGATCAGCAATGAAACATGGACTGTCATTGTCCTGCCTGCATAGTATACGCATTCCCCTACAAAAACAAACGTAGAAACTTTTAGTAAAGAGTAATAGTTTATTCTAAAAACTTATTTGACAACAAATGATGCTGTAAACAATCCTGTAACAAATCGTTTTTATTAACAGTGCTGAGTGAAAGCATTTGCCCTTAATAATATTTTTCTATTTTTAAATTAAGTTTCAGATCAAAGAAATCTGAAGATAAATGAACCAGTGGAGAAAAAAAATGTTTTGAAGATATGAAGATAAAATTAATTTAGAAACAGTCAGTTGTTTGCCTTATTATTAAAGCTATTAACTTTAGAAGTAGTTCCTGCTTTCAAAAACTCACAAAAACTGGCAAAATTATCCTTTTACATCACAAAGTTTGAATCGTGTGCATCAGGATTTTCCAACAAGTATGTGTGGACATCAAAGTACTGAAGGCAGCAAAGCAATATGTTTACATTGACTAAATTGAAAGCGTTTGATAATCTGCAACAAATACATGTGAGAAAAGTAAAAAAAAAACAGGAAAATATGGAAGAAGAGAAATACTGTTACACATTACTTGGTATAGAAAACAGTAATCAGTATCAGTTATTCTATGCATCCGTTTAACTCCGTACAAACTTTGACACGGTGGAAGATCTCTGATCACCGACTGAGGAAAAGTCTTGAACTTTTGCCCTTTGTCAGATTTAATCTCCGTCTTTCAGCCACTGTGGGCCAGACTGGCAGCAAACTCCACCAGTGTACGTGTTGGTCTTCCAGACATGCCTTTCCTGAGGTAGGGGACTTCGTCTTTGTTGCTCATCACACCAGCAATGTCCAGATGAGCCCAGTGAGGAGCTGTGACAAACTCCCTGAGGAAAGCAGCTGCTGTGCACGCACCCCCAGCTCTACACGGAAAAAAGAACAGCCAAACGCGTCAGGAACTAGTACCCAGCTTCACATTTCTCTTTGTACTTTTTCAATTCTTCCAGAATCAAACTACAACACTTCACAGTACTTTTTAGCTATACTGTAAATACCGTACCGACAACCCTGATTATAAGCCGACCCGCTCTTTCCAGGAGCAGTTTTTAGGACAAAACAAAAAGAAAAATAAACACTGATAAACCAAATTTATTTGGTTTAAAGAAACTATTTTATATCAAAGTGCTAAGAGTTTCATTGAAATATTGCATTGGAAGATTTGTGCAATTAAACTAAATTAAACTATAAAAAAATATAGTAATGACACATTTATTTGAAATCTTGCAGAACTTTACCTTAAATGCAATCTGAACTTTGCTCACGGAACGTCTAAAAAACCTGCATGAGGCTTTTCCTCACAGAAGTCCTCTGCCTTGCTGCCACACTCCTACTCTCCCCATGCAGCTCTGCTATTTTTTAATACGTTTTTCTTTTGCCGTTTGCTTTTTTCCAGTCTTTTTTGAACGCGCCATCTTCTGACACTGCTCTCTAACTCCGTATTTCTTTGCTGCCTGACAGCTGTTTGATGCCTCCACTGTGTTGACCACCATTATTTTAAAATTGCCGTCATAACCTCGCTCGCATGTCTGCAAACTTGTCTGACTTTTGATCCACTCCGTTCAGGGCAGCGACTCTCCATTTGTAGCATCCTTGTCACTTCTTCTCTGCAGTAATAAAAAGATGACCCCAGCCACAGTGAGCTCACTGTCTTGACAAAAAAAAAAAAAAAAACTGGCGCCCTCTGCTGTTGTATTTGTGTAGCTATCCCAGACACCTGTCAGCCTGTGTAATTGTTTACACCCCGATTATAATACGACCCCAGATTTTGACATTGTTTTTAACGAAAAAAAAAAATACATCTTATATTTGGGTTAATTAGGTATTTATGTTCAAAATAACATATCTAATGTTTATAAAGAAATCAGGGATGGATGGATGGATGGATGGATGGATGGATGGATGGATGGATGGATGGATGGATGGATGGATGGATGGATGGATGGATGGATGGATGGATGGATGGATGGATGGATGGATGGAGTAAAAATGGGGAGGAAAGAGATTCCAGTAAAGGCTGAAGGAGAAGAGAAGGATAGACAACAATTATGGAAGGACAATGGAAATGAGCAGTATAGGGCAAATTAAGGAAAAAGAGGAATGTAAAAAAGGACATAAGGAAGAACAGAGGGGGGACAAATAGAGAGGGAGAAGGTCTCAAGAAAGAAATGAAGAAGGGATGACAGAGCAGGAAAGGAATGGTGGAATAATGAAAAGACTTGAAGGAAGGAACAATTCAGAACCAGTAAATAATAAAATTCTGCTGATATGCAAACTGTTTCGAGACGCTGGTCAGACTCCTTTGCCTCTACGACTGTCCCTAATGGATCTGAGAGGGACTCAGTGAGAGCAGCGCTCAGGTACGTACCGGCTGTACTTGCCGATGTTGTTGAGGTCGGCCAGCTGGCAGTCGGTAACCTGCTTGGTGTAATGTTGGAACAGAGGCATCCTCCAAAACCCTGTCACCGGTCACAGCACTGGCCTTCACACACACAAACACACACAGCATTAGTCACCAGACAAGCTGAGACACTGACGAGTGGAGCTGGGTTTCGCTTCTCGTCTACCTTGTGCAGCTGCTCCCAGAGCCAGTCTGAATTTGTAAACACTCCTGTTGCTGCCGAGCCCAGGGCTACATCCATGGCGCCTTCAAGAATGAGGTCAGTCATTTTAAAGAAATCCTTAATCCTATTTTCCATTTTTTTTATTTAATATTAGATAAACAATACATTTAACCTGAACAGAACTACTGACAGCGTTTTGACATCACTGTGTAAAAATCGTACCAGTTAGCGTAGCAACATTGACAATGGCTCTTGGGTTTAACGTGTGTCCATAACAGAGAGCATCAGCAAGGATGAGCCTGCCCTCTGCGTCCGTATTATCCACCTTAATGAAACAATAACAGCAGCTCATCAGTTTAAACCCTCCCTCAGACAGCTGATCTGACCAATCCCACGCCTCCACCAACCTGGATCGTTTTCCCATTCATGGCCGTGACAACATCACCTGGTTTGGTTGCCTTTCCACTGGGCATGTTCTCACACAGTGGGGCCAGACCTGCTCAGGGTAAAAAACATGGATGATGGGGCAATAAAAAGAAATAAAAAGCCAGAAACAGATTGGAAAGGGGAAGCCCACCAATTATGTTGACCGGGAGATTCAGAGCTGCTGCTGTGACGATGGAGGCGCAGACGGTGGCAGCTCCTCCCATGTCGGCCCTCATTGCGTCCATAGACTGAGACGGCTTCAGAGAAATGCCACCACTAAACACAAACACAGAGATCAGAGGGAAACAAAACTAACAGGGCCCCCTGGAAAAACTACTGGGAGGGGTGAGTATTTCATGGTTAACCTGTCAAAAGTGACGCCTTTGCCCACCAGCATGAGAGGCAGCTGCTTCCTGTCAGGGCAGCCATTGTAGTGAAGCTCCAGGAAGACAGGGGGCTCCTCTGAACCCCTGGCTACACTGAGAAAGGCTCCCATCTGCTGCTCCTTTATCCAGGCCGTGGATCTGCAAATAAATACTAATTATTAAACACGACTAATACTAATAAAGACTCAGTAACCTAGTAATATGAAGGGAAGCGTAAATAGTACATCTAAAGAAGTAAGTTAACCCATAAGATAATAAATAACCAGAGAACTAAGTCAGGAAATAAATAAATAATAAGTAATATTTTAATAACATGATAAAAAAAACAAGAAGGCAAATTAAATAAGCAAATCAAGAAATAACTGAATAGATAAAAAAAAAAAAACTAAATCAACCAAGAAGTAAGGAAGTTAATGAGTAAGTAACCGTTTAGGGAAGCAAAAATGTAACTAAGTACATAAACATACATTAATTAAAGAAGTTTAAAATATACATAAAAAAATAAGATAATTAAGAAGAAAGCAAGTGCATCACATCATTTAAACAGCAGGTTAATAGATGAGCAATTCAGTTAAGTAATAATTAACATAAACGTCTAATTAAATAAATAGTTCAGGAATCTAATGAGGCAATTAATAGGTAAACCGTTAAGCAAATATGTACAAAATAAAGATATACATTTCTTGGAAAGCAATGATATAATTTATTTTTAATAAAAAAAAGGCATGTGCCTAATATCTTAGTTAACTACCTTGTTTATCCAAATTACAACATGTGTCTAAATACATAAATATTTGTACATTACTTCAACAATTTCAACAGCTTTTAATTCTCTTTGTTGTGCTTAGTTGTACTAAATCAGTGGAAATAAGGCAATTTCTCCTGGATGCTTGGTTATGTCCCTCACTGAATGCACAGAAGCACACTACTTTATAAAAACAAATGGTTTTCAAGAAAGAAACCAGAAATGGGTACAGCTTTGGCCTCTTAATACTGAGGA